GAAGACTCCATCTCCGTTCCGCTACAACGTCCTACATGATTCTGTATACGTGCGATACTCAAATCGTCTGCGGACTGTATTTAGCGTTATGAACGAATGGTGGTTGCAAGAATGTTGCTGCCTGAAATATCGGGTGGAGACAAAGAACCGGAGCGGATATGTGTGATGCGCCGTGCCGTTAGGCGACCAGCATGATAAATTCAATTTAATAGCACTAAACGCCTAAGATAATTGTATAGGAGATACTCAGGATTGAGTTGTAAGTATGTACAATAAGGGAAGCGTCCAGAGAGTGGGACGATATGTGGACCAATATGCGCGTAGTGTACCATAGGTACGAGATGCTGCAGACGCCGGTCAAAACAAGAATGTATGATGGTCAAGCCATTAAAGATTAAGGAAAGTCGTGAGTTCGTGGGTATTGCTCAAAGAGACGAACCCTATCTGTGCGGTGCCTCTGAGCTGAAGCGACGGAATTCCTCCCTCGCGAGTTCTTTCTCTCGCACTTCGGAGCTTGTTGCGCTGCTATTATCATTACTGTACTTTGAGCTTGTCTGTCGAGTAAGATCGCAAGAAGCAGGAGTCTTAGGTTCGTCCGATCCCGCGACTGAGGTGGCGCGTGTTCGCTGGAGTGATGCGTCTCGGATGCGAGTGGAATCGCCACTCATGTGGTTCAACAAGGAGATAATTTCGAGACTAGGAGTTCTTGTCGGTCCAGTTCGGTGAGCTGGTCTTGATGACTCGGAGGGCTTCTGGATCGGGAGTTCGGGGATCTCTTCGATAGCAGGGGTTCTTGCACCCTGAGAATTGGCGCTGTTTGCGCGGCTGCGGATGACCTCTGTCTGCGGGAAACTAACGCGCTTCCTGGTCTTTCGGGATGGCGAAACACTTCCACTTTTAGATGGCATAGTAGGAGTGTAAACCGGTACTGGCGTTTTGCGATGAGATCTCGGAGGTGGGGTCGAAGGGTTGGCTCTACGTCTGTCACTGTTTGATTCCAGCCTGGCCAATGCGTCGGTAACCGCATCGCCTACATCGAACTCATTCAATTGGTGATGTTCAAGCTCGTATGTCTGTTGTTGCGGGGTGCCCCGACGCGATGGCGGATTTGTATGCTCCAGAACAGAACTTGCACCCGGCGGTGGCGTGGAAGCTGGCAATGGCCATTCAGCAGGCAGTTCTGGAACTGGCGGCACATTGATATCGGGGCGCGAAGCCTTGTCATTTAGTGTTGTCTTAGATGAGGCTGCGAAAGAAATGGTAGTGTGGCGGCTTCTCGATGAGTCGCCCGAGAGACGCTTGACCTTCCAGCTACCTGTGTTGTCTACTTCTAGAGTCGAATGAGGGTATTGTAGTGAATCAGCCAGTGTCTGGGTGTCTTCGAACACGGAAGACTGGTATCTGTGTAGCGTTTGACTTGAGTCGTTGGGGTGGGCCATCGGGTGAGCCAGAGTGGGCGGGGGTACGGTAAGATTCTTCTCGTTCTCGTCGTGCAAGTCAACGCGGCTCCTGGAATAGTCACCTGACTTCCTGGCCCCATTTGGCACGTAGAAACGTAGGTCGACGCGAACCACTGCAAACATGATGATGACGAGGATCTCAGTGACAAAATTGAAGCAGTAGAAGCTTCCCTTGGTCAGGTACCACGGCAGCTTGATGACGTCGCGCTGTACATCAATCAAGGGGGTTCCTGGAATCCAGGCCAGAACGCAGCGGAAGATCTGCCCGATGGAGAGAACAGACACCGATATGAGGAGGATGATGATGTTGTACCTCAGACGACCAGCGCCAAACTTCTCGACTTCTGTCCTAGGAACGAGGAGCGAGATGCCTACTAGGATAGCTGGCGCAAAGCAGAATATCGTAAAATATGTCTGAGCGAGGACGAATAGGTCGTGGAAAGCAGTAAGCTTGCTTTGGTCGCGTGTGAAGAACTGCCAGATCTGGCTTATGATGAGCATAAGTAGAGTGGCTACCAACAGAACCAGTCCGCCTCGGTGAAAGATGCGGTACGGCGTTGACCATCCTAGGCGCGCATGCTGGGAGCGGACAATACGTTGGACAAAGAACCAGTTCACTCCGTACAAGATGATGGTACCGATGTAGACGAAGATGTTGGCCGCGATGGCGAGTCCGATGTTCCTGGGATAGTTGGCCCATGCTATCCGCAGGGACATGGTGATGATTCTGATCTTGCAAAGACCTGCAATGTGTTAGCCGTGTGCATACTAGTCAATAGGACTGAAAGGACTTACCGAGTATAGCGCCATTGAAGATGAACTTGTGCCCGCGATGCTTGTTACCCTTGAAGATCTTGATGTGGATAACGCCAAAGATCAGGTAGAGTATGAGAAAGACAATGGCGAGAGGTACGTCAGGCACAATGGCAGGGGTTCCACCCAGGCCGGCATTGAGGGGCGCATATGGAGGGCCTCGACTGGCTTGCCCAGAAGCTCCAGACTGACCATGGTTAGTTGCGCGTAGGAGGAGGCTGGAATTGACATCACTCACTGGAGGTCCTTGGGTTCCTTGCTGCGACATCTTTGCCCGTTTGATGTTGGACGTATGAAACGTTTGCTGCAGAGGAGGTTGGAGAGAACCAAAAAGCTCCACCTGGGAGGCGGGAACGAGGTGGTGTATATCAGGTTCTACTGCCACGCGACTGATGCAGTCTAAACGGTAGTATGCATCGCTTAGAGCAGAGCAGCGGCTGACCCAGATAAGCAAACTAGATGACGACTATGCAATAACCATACCATGTCCAATCCAATTGGGTGGACGGTCGTTCCATACGACGTGCCCGGCCTATCCGCAGCCGTGCCTAGATGTGGCAGCACAAGGCCTCACTGGATTGGGGCTACCGGCTTCTGCGGTGAGTGGATACCTACCGCACCCGTGGTACGCGAGCGATCTTTCCGCAGATCTAACGTTTGCTATTCTCAACGCATAGTATGCTTTTTCTCATTCAGTCTCCTTTCTGCGGTGTATAGGTGTTCTTGCATCTTGAAGAATGTACAACACGTTTTCCATGACCAAGAACACTGCTCACATTGCGCCGCAGTCAACTGTGCCTCAATAAGGTGCCTTCATGTTGACGTTATCGACGGCTGACGGTAGTACCGGGTCTCCTCAGTGATGCCGGAGATCAGCAGAACGCAGTTCCTGAGTGGATGGTCGGCGAAAACGTCAAACGAGCTCCGACCCAGATGAACCCAAACCGGGACAGGGCACTGCCTTGGGCACGGTGCTGAATGATGCGTCCATCGGGGGGTTTTGCAGAACAAAGGCCGACCTGCTTTTGCCCCGAAATAGACGTCGCATGTGAAAGCCTTGGGGAGGCTGAGAGATAAGGTGTCGCACTTGCATAAAGGAGCGAATTGAGCGTGTGTCAAGCTAGGGAAAAGGAGCAGTTGAGGTTGAGAATGGATATCTCGAGGTGTGGTGTGGCGGATGGATGGCAGCTACCCCAGATTTTCGGAACGGTGAAACTGATCGGAATGATGCTGGAGCTCGACGTTGCGTGTGTCCAACCACAACGTTCAGTACATCGTAATTTCGGCCAATGCTTCCTCCAAACCCCGTCGTAGTTTCCGCAATTTCGTAGCCTTCGCCATGCCGCCCAAGACTAAGCAACGCGCGGTCAAGCCCGCCGGCACAAAGTCCAAGAAAGCCATCCCACAGCCCTTCACCGCAGCCCCGGCTGAACTCGAGACGCTCCTGTCCACCTTCGACCGCTCGCTCGTTTACATAACACATGTCGATGTGCATCCAGCCTGGTTTAAGCGGCGTATATTCGGCGTCCCAGTCCTCCTCAACACGGCCATAACCGCGCTCGTACTATGGCGCCTGTACGTCATCGGGCCTCACTACTGGGCCATCCTCATGTCCGTCATGGGAAACCACAATGAGACCACCATATACTGGGCAGGCACGTCTTGGGCAACTCTGCTATGGAGGGTAGGAAAGCGCATGGCAATGTTCATGCTGGACTTCCTACTTTTCCGGTTCGTGGCGCTCTGGCCGTTCACCTTCTTCATTGAGCAGCCAGGCAATCCCGTGAGCTGGCGGTGGAATGTGGGCTTTAGGGACGAGGAGGTATATGTGAGGGTCAGCAGAGGATGGGGAGCCAAGGACCTGCTTGGGGAGGCTGAAGGTGGAAGTGGGCGTGCAGGCGCGGATAATCCCTTCTTCAAGACCAGAGTTCTGCCCGCGGTTGACAAGACGAGGTTGAGGGAGAAGACGGGATATCTGTTGATGGATTCAGACTTCGACCTGGACTTCTTTGGCATGGTTGCTGCCACGCAACTGCTCGATCGCAAGGACATCACACTCGACCACCTCCGCAAATGCGTCTTCGTCTACGTCGGCGACCCTGAAGCAGAGAACGGACAATGGGCCGTCTGGGAATGCGCGAAGCTCGACGAAGGCTCGGAAACCGAAGCGAGGGACAAGGTCATACAGTTCAAGGACCGGCTCACAGCCATGGGCAAGGAGAGCTTGTTCTTCAGATGGGTCGAGCTCATCCAGTACGAAAGCAACGCTCCGGGTGGCTTCACGCAAGAGCGACAGATAGCTGCCGCCGAGAAGGTGAAGAAGATGTTCGAAGACGAAGGAGTGGACTTCGAGGTATTTGAAAAGGAGATTGGGGGTATGGATGGGTTGGCAGGTGCATAGACTGGACCTAACGTCGAGTTTCAGGATAGACAAAAAGGAAGCATGATTGGGGTTCGTGAACGCGTTGATAAGATACCCAATTTTGTACATTTCGAAGATTTACATCTACTCGTAAAGTCATGCCTACGTAGCATAAAAGGTTATACATAATTCGTCTCGGACTCTCCGCTCAACTTCAGCCTCTACTCCTCAGCATCTTGCCCAATGATCCACCTAGTATCTTGGCCTCCTTACTTCTCGATCTTGGTGTTGGACTCGCATGCCTCGACTCCCGTGTCTTAGACTCTATGGGAGAAGTTTCCCTGCGCCTCCGTACGGCAGTGCCCTTAGCCTCTGCGCTGCTGGAAGAGTTGAGCGTGTCGCTGCGTTTCCGAAGACGGCGGGTAGGACTCGAAGAGGAGGTGGTTTGCGGGTGTGAGTGGGACTGAGAAGTAGCATGTGGAGATACGGATGTAGATGTCGTTCTGCGTCTGCGCTTCTCTTCGGTATGTCTGGACTCTGGTATCCGCGCCGCTGCAGGGCTAGGAGTGCGTGTCCGTTCTTGTTCCCGTTGTTGATGTTCTTGTGTTTGTCTTTCCTGCTCGGCAATCACACTTCTCCTCTCCATGTCTTCCAATTCATCGATGGATACCTGCACCACCTTCTTCACTGGTGCAGCCTCTTCTCGACGTCTTCTCACAGGCACGTCACTCCTCGACGCAGCATACGCGTCTAGAAGTTTCTCAACCTCTTTGCGATTCGCATCTGTGCTGGCTAGACGGACAACTTCCAAGACGAGGAGGAAAGCGATAATGTAGCCGACGAAGAAGCCGGTCCTGGCCCAGAACTCTGGATTGATCAGGAACGAGAAGAGTTTAATTGTGGCGAGAAACATTTTGGCGTTTTGAGAACTGATCTTGCGTTGAACGTGGGAATGACCGAAGGATCGTAGGCGCAAGTCAGATAGTGAGGTCGAACAGAAACGAGGGGCGGCGACAAAGAATGAGTGATAGTAAGCCTTCCGACCCCAAATTACGGCGTAAATACGGCGTCGTCGTCAACAAGAAGAGAATGTACTGTGTGCGGCCCGCGCTCGAAAGATAAGAATGTTGTTACACCGCACCGTCCGCAAGTTGCTAGACCTGCTTCACGTTGCCTTTACCTCCCTCGCGCAGCAGCGAGCCCCTCCACCTTTTAAGGTCCTGTCAAGCCCCCACAGAGGGCGGCATACTGAGACACTTCGAGTCCACAAGGTACGCGTCCCAGGTGTTCCGCCCCTAAACCTTGCGAACGACACCCCAGAACCGGGAAACTATTAATGGTTGGAGGATTGGACGGGCGGCGCTTGAAACCAATCAGCATGTTTCAGCTGGGGTGATGCAAGGGTGTCTGAGTTAGCAGGTGTTTGAAGTCCGCAACACCATGCCGGATGCAGATGTAAACTTGTCCAGAAGCGAGGAGCGCGCGCCAATGGGCTGGGGTAGCGGCGCGATTGTGTATCAGTACCCAGGCGACGGTTCGCGTTGGTCGCTCGTCATCGGAGTCTGGCCGAGCAATCTGCAAATGGTGGCTTGCGTAGGTTTTGAGTTGAGGGGCAGGCAGAGTTTGGAGAGTGCTCAGGTGGAAGCCCATACGTCACGTGCTGCGAGGACGCGCCGCTGCTCGCGGGGCAACAAGATGCTAGCCTTTCGGCATCACTGATACATCCAACAACAGCCGCATTGCGTATCGCATAACGAGCACTATAGTATATCGCAATCGCAAAATGCGATACTCTGCTGTCTGGCGACCACCCCAGAATATATTCCTCGTTGTTCCTTGTCGACGCTGCCCAGGTGTTCACTCATGCCCTGACCTATGTCGACTAATCGTCGATTACATGACGGCATACTTCTATTACACAGCGTCAGTATGTACAAGATCATGTAGCACTTCTAGTCCCATGTAACGGCAGTATCAACCATGGAGACGCGTTGCTGGATGGTCTTCCAACTATCGACGCTCAACAGCGAGAACAGCTTTCAAAGAAGGGAGTAATCCTGTCGTTTAGAGTGATGTGCTAGGCAAAGGCTTCGACTACGCGCGCTACACTGGCGTAGATGAGGTAAGTAGGGCTACCACCAGGTCGCTGTTGAGTAAACACTGGGCTCCACCTTTCACGTTGAGTTTGGAGCCGAGAGACCCCGCCTGCGCGCTCGAAGATACAAGTACAGGCTTGATCATCACGGCTGAAGCCAAAGCGTGTGAAGAAAGGCTACGCCGGGAATTGGAGAAGGAAGAGGAAGAAGCCCGAGAACTGCAGGCCAAGCTTGAACAGAATAGACGACGAGCTACTCGAGGCTGATGCCACACAGGCGGAACTACCCAAAAAGATGCGAAGCAGATGTCTTAGTCCTTCATTCCGTCTCGATCACAAAAGCATCTTAAAGCCGAAGTTGAGGTATGCGATAAATTTCTTCTTATGCAATGATCAAGGATCAGTCGATAAACCAACACGACCCTTGCTACTCACACGCGATATCCAAGACGCTATCATAATAATACAATCGTGGCGTATCCAACTCCTGTTTCAAACATGCGGCCCTAATAGACAAGACGCCTTCGCTGAATCAATGCGACAAAAGGAAAGTAGTGAATGACTATGACAAAAGCAATTCCTTGCCGTCACCTGCCCCCGGGCAGAATCTCGTCTTCAAACATGCTGTGATCCCAGCCCTTCTCCTCCATAAGTTTAGCCGCCTCGTCGCTAATCCAGTGGCTTTCCCTCATGGTGCTCCCAGCTTTAATAGTCTGGCTGGCACTGTAATTAACGGCCTGCGCCTCTTCGAAACCAAAGAATAAACTCCACATGGTGGCGGCAATCCAAGAAAAGAAGGACGATATTGGTACCCACCAGCCTTGAACGAAGGTCCGGTAGATGAGTGTGGGTATGACAAAGGGGAACTTGGGAGCCTTCATGTTGACGCTGAATGGGTGGGGCGACGAGTAAGCATACATCGGCTGGCAGTACATCTCGCTGTGAGACTAGTCAGTAACGTTCCTGTACGCGAAACGGCAGAACAGATGCAACATACCAAGCAATCTCTTCACTTATCCACCAAGTGAAAAGGATTATCAAGAAGATACTCAAGCCTGTGAGCCCGCCCCACGCTCTCCCCCAACTGTTCGATGTCTGGCGTAGGGTCTTCAATTGTTGCTGCCAAAACAGACTTTTCCACCATCTCAACATGGAAAAGTTCTGGACATGATCGTCTATCGCGCAAGGGCATGCACGACTCACCACTTTGACTTTTTCGCCATTCTCGCCCTCTTCTACGTGCTCGACTTGGTCTTCGACGCGCTTCATGCCGCGGCTTGCGTCGCGAATGCTGGTCCGCGCTGCGCGAAGGCGGTCGTTCATGCGGTGGAGATGTAACAGTTCTTGCTGTCGCTGGCGCTCTGCCTCGTTACGAGGAGTCTCGGTCGGTAGCTGAAGGCCTTGAAGAGTGTCTTCGTCTATTTGGCTTTCACCTGACGGAGCGATGAGATCCTCGAGTGAGTTGATGGTCGAATCGCCGAAGTCGGCTGATGGCCGTCTGCCTTGAGATTTGGCTTCGTCTACGAGAGCCTGCAATGCAGACTTTGGAAGTTGAGGGCGAACAGGCTCTACGGACACGGCTTCGGATGGCTCTTCGGCCTTCTCAGACGGTCTTTGCTTGCGCGGACTGCCTTTCTTGGGTGAAAGTGAACGCGATCTGGACGCCACGACAGGTCTTTGTACTGTACGCGGGCCTGGTGTATCGACCCAAGCACCAGTCACCACTGGCGTCTTTGGGTTTAGGGCGGGTCGCTCTTTCGGCATTGGTGTAGCTTCCACCTGCTCGGTCCTTGCCGCAGCTTCCTTGGATTCAGTGTGCTCTTGCCGCACGGTCGAGGTCGCTGCTACTGCATCAGGAACCTCGGCAGAAACAGGCGTCTCCTCCACAGAGGCGGGTTTGCTTTCAGATTGCGTAGTCTCGGTCAGCAAAGTCTGCGGTGCGCTGTCGAGCGGTGCTGGGGGCGCAGATTCCGGTCTGGATGGTGCTGTCTGTCTCGGGCTTGGTGTATTGGAGACTCTCGCGAGCCGCCGCAATAGATCCTGCGAGTCTTCTCTTCGGTTCGGTATGCGTCTTGGAGGGACAGGCTGGGCCGTGGCGACTACTTCGCGATCTACTGCAGCTATGTTCTCGGCACTCTTGTACATGGCAACTGGCGGATCTTCCATGCCGATGCCCGTGACCGGCTGCGCCTTCCCAATGGACTGCCACGAATGGGTCCGCGTGCGCAGTCTCCGCTTCGGCGAAGGAGCTGGCTGTGTCACCTGATCTGTTATTCTCGCGCTGCTATCTACAGTGTCTACCGTCCGTATAGAAGATGTCCGCGGGCGCGATTGTTCGGGCGACCCTTGGCGCATTCTCTCCAGCCGGGCAGTGGCTGCCTGCTCCTTGACAGCCTCCATTTCTCTCTGCCGTATATCGTCTAGCACCGTGTTCCGTGGTATGTAAGGCGTGGATGCTATCATAGAGGCTTCGTTGAGCTCAAACGTAAGGTCCCACTCTTGCGACTGGTCGTTGCGTGGTGTGCCCTTGTGCGAGAGCGGGCTGTCTTCGACTGAGCGACGCGGCACGTTTGCATGTGCTTCATCGTAGTGGTCGTGTATTGTGTCGTCGGCTCGCTCGGGTGTCTGCTGCTGCTCTTCCTCGTACGTGATGGTACGCATCCAGTTCCGGTTGCTCCTGCTCTTCCTCCCCCATGTAGCTGGCGCGTGTATCGCCGGGTCGCTCCTCGCGCTCCCGGTGCTGCTGGGCGGGCTCTCAAATTTGACCTGGTCATCCGCCCCAGCTACCGCGTTGTTCCTCTCCAGGTTGTCCAGAGTCAGCCCGACGCGTGGGTGGATGCGTGCCTTCCGGAAAGCCTGCGGTCTGCTCCCCAGCGCCTGGTTCAGCCGCCGCTCGTCGCGCGCATTCTGGATCATGCGCTTCTCGAATTCGTCCTCGGCATCGTTTTCGAGATCGCTCAGCGCAGACCCGACGGAAGCTGCATCCTGCACGTCTTCCTGGGTGCTCGCGGGCCGTTGGAGGTGGGCGTAGCGGGTGTTGATAACGTTGGCCGACGGCGGGGGAAGGGTTTGGAGGGGCTGGCGCGTCGTCATTTCCGGGCAGCCGTCCTGTCGTGATGGTGCATAGTAGTCTGAGCTGCGCGGAAGCTGAATCTAGGCGTGGCTAAGTTATGTTGCGGCGGGATTGCAGCGGTAAGCGCATTGGCTTGTGCAGTTGTTGTCAACTCGACGCGTCCCGACTTTCACTAGGAACGTGCACCACAGATCGCTGCAGGGATCTTATCGTCTATCTTGCCCAGGTGAGCATGCTTAGCCGACTCGACGCAGTTATATCGAAGTCAACGCTCGTCATTAGGCATTATAACATTATGCTTCGTATCATCATGCAGCCCTACGGCTCCTGGTCGTCTATGGCTGCGCATCTCTTCTTCACCATCTCCAAATCAGTATTGCCCTGCTCGTCCCTCCATGCACGCAGTACCTCCTCACGCATCACCCTCCGTGGCGCTCGCTTGCCAGTAAACAGCTCGAACTGAGCGAATGCCTGCTCGGGGATAAAGTCTAGACCGTCCATGTACGTCCATAGCTTCTTTGGCGCGTCTCGCACTTGCTGCGACAGTGGTGTATTGAGCGTCTTGTATGCCGTCTCCATCACGACACCGCCAGTCGGACTCTCCATCCACTGTGGAGGTAGCGAAAATTGCGCTGCTGGGCCCCCATCTATTGGATCCGTAGGTATGCACGAAATGATGATAGTAGGCTCCCGGAGATGCTCCGGCCAGCATTCATCGCGCGATTTCAATATCGTCAAGTTTGGC